ACAACAAGAAGGGACATTTTATCATGTTTGGTGGACATGTAAAAAAGCTAGAAAATTCTGGGTTCAAATGCATACACTGATTCAGAGGATTTCAAAGATTAATATACAATTGAGACCAGAGTTTTTTCTTTTGGGATTGATGGACAAACAGTTGGAAAAAAGTTATGGAACTTTGTTTTTGTACATGATAACTGCAGCGAGATTATTGTATGCACAAAGATGGAAAAATTCGGCATTATCCACAATGGAGGAATGATTTGGTGAAGATGATGGAACTTGCTGAGATGGCTAAATTGACTTCTTGGATCAGAGAAAAGACAATATCTATGTTTATTGCTGACTTTATTGCTGACCCCTTATAGACTTTATGCGTGAAACAGAAAAAAATGAATTTATGATTTATGGTTTTGATGATTAGACAGGATAGTTATAGAAAGAAGAGAGTTATGTTGTAACCATAGAGTAAGAGGTAAATTTATAATTTTACTTATAACTGCTGTAAAGAAGATCAGAAGCTACTTCTTTGTATTTTTTTCCTTCTTTTCTATTTTTCTTTTACTTTTTTTCCTTTCTTGCACTTTTAGCTTTCTCTTCGATTTCTTTTTCTTACTTTATATAATTTTGTATTAGTTTTTATCTTCCTTTTTAAAAAGTTTTTAATAAAAATTATATTAAAAAAGAAAAGAAATACATGTTGCAACTTTACACAATATGCCAGCTACACTAAAATGGGGTTAGGTTGTTTCTACTTCAACATATTGCATGGAACCAAGAATTGTCTTAGCCTGCTGTGTGAATGAGGCAATGTCAAAATATAGTTTATTTGTTTAGGACGAACATGTCATATATACATAGCAATTATGTCTAGCTCCTACTCTTTGGAATCGACTCTCCTCTGAACTTCATCTGGAGAACAATACTATCTCCTGAGCTTAAAAAAAGCCCTTAAAATGCTTTTTTCCCCCAAGACCTTTATGAAGATGGAAGAATCTTTCTTTGCATGGGCATTATTGGCTGCTATTAGAAAATGTTTTACATTGATTATTACATTGTTATTCTGCTGATACTGATCTATACTTATATTTTGTATCACTTTACTTGTACTATAAGATCTGCATAATCAAGGCTATGGTTTTTCCAGTAGTAATGTATGGCTGTGAGAGCTGGACCATCAAGAAGGCTGAGCGCTGAAGAATT